CAGTCGGTGCACGTCGCGATTGGCTTAGATTTCATGCTGCTGCCATTTCGGGCCCACAATCTGCTAATGAGACAGAGAAGAAAAAAAGAAGAAAAAAAACGACTTCAGACGACAGAGCCTCGGTCCAAACAGTGGAAAGAACAAAAAGAAAAAGAGACTTTTCTCTTTTAGATGTTTTTGGTAAAGCAGCGGGGAAACATAACACGTTGAATAATTAAAAGTGTTTGGATGAGTTCTTGAACACAATAGTCCCAGATCGAATATTGTTTTCACCCCAGATTGGAAAACTCTCATGTCATTGGATGTTTCGCTGAGCTGTTATTTCAGGCTCGGGCCGAGTGTTGTTAAAGGAAAAGAAAGAGATATATAATATTTTTATGATTTAAATAATTCAGACTTACATCCAGCTCCCACAGCGCAACAGAGAAGCTGTAACACACACACACACACACACACACACTGCAGGGTGAACAAACATCCTCAGAAACCTGTGATTCTGATTTTTTATTTTATTTTTTAGATTTAAATCATTTTATCAGTGGCAGAATTAAAAGCGCCGTACAGTAATCCTTGTCCTATCGCGGTAGTATCAAGACCCACCCCGAAACGCACAGTAATCCTTGTCCTATCGCGGTAGTTTCAAGACCCACTGCGAAACGGGAAAAATCGCGGAATAGAAGCAAAATAGTTAATATATTATTTACGTATATTTTGACCCTTTACGAACCTCCCCTACACTGTTATCAACCCTCTCTAGACTGAAGTGATGAGAGTTTGGCCGACAGACGAGGGGAGATGCTGAGAGATGCTACCATGCATGAGCCAATCAGCGTGAGGAACAGAAGAGCATACTCAGTTAGCCAATAGTAAACTGTGTACGATCTCGTCTAGGTAAACAACGCTACCAGCGATCGTCTCAATTTCAAAACGAGAATCCACAAATTTCATATGTATAATTATTTTATCTTTTGTCTCTTTGTTTATTTTTTGCTATTTTTTGTGATATAGCGAAAATTTCGCGAAATCGGATTAAAAAAAATTTGCGATGCACTGAGGGAGCGAAAGGAGAACTGCGGTTTAGAGAGGGAACACTGTGTATATAAATGTATTTCACCGTCCACTCACGTATCGTTGCTCTAATACAGTGGTATACACAGTGGGAGCCACCAGGGGGCACTAAGGGGGAGCCATAGAAAATTAAAGGAAAGCTATTTGGGGGCCTTGGCCCCTGCTGTAATACACAGTCAATACAATCCCAGTTAATCATGATTAATCGTGATTAATCCAACGATACTCATCAGAAAATAATATTCAACATTTAACCCTTTCACAGCACTAAGTTAATTAAAAAATAGCTTTCTGCAAAGAGTTAAAGCTGCAAAAAAAATAACGATGAAAAAAGTGCGTAAACCTGAAAAACGCCGCAGGTTGTTGTTACTCGATGGTCAGTGTTTTCAGCAGCACAAAGGGAAGATTTCCAAACGGCACCTCGGGAAGTTCTATATCGGAGCAGCGTCTGCCCTGCAGTGTTTCCAATTTGTCTGTCCTGATCGTTGGCGGTTGGGCTTCCAGCTGGGCGAAAGGAAGGCGAACCCGACCGCATCAGAGAGGACGGCGAGTTTAGGGAGTGCCTGACATCAGAGGAGGCGCTGGCCACTGACAGCTGAACAGAAGCAC